CTTCAGAGATGTACATCTGCAGAAAAGTAAGCAAAAAAAGGTGCACCTAAGAATTATGAAATAATATATGGATATTTTTAACAAACCTCTAAATCTATATAAAGTAAGAGACTTCAAATAGAATGGCCAAAGATAAGAGCCACAATGAGATGCATCTGAAAATTTAAGAAAATGTACATTTCCTTTTCTTTTTTTTTTTTTTTTTTTTGGTAGTTGGGATTAAACCCAGGGACACTTCATCATTGAGCCACATCCTCAGTCCTTTTTTTATTTTGAGACAGTCTCACTAAGTTGCTTAGGCCCTTGCTAAGTTGCTGAGGCTGGCTTTGTACTCACGATCCTCCTGCCTCAGCCTCCCAAGATGCTGGGATTATAGGCATGCATCACTGTGCCTGGCTACTCACAGCTTCTGAAGCATGACTTTCCTTTTGAAAAAGTCCTCAAGAATGATGCTATTTCCAAGAGAGGAATTAAACCTTTCAGTGCTCTTGGCAACACAGCCTATGGGAAAGGAGGCTGGGAGTGTCAGGGGTGGCCACAAAGGCTGTTGGTCCCCAGGTCTCTGTGCATGTAGATTGCATCTCTCAGTGGCAGACTGTGCTCCCCACAGATCAACCTTCACTCTCTAATGATGCCATCTGCCTTATCTTACTCAGCCTCTCAGCAGCTACCATTTCCTGCAGCCTAGAGGTCTTCTCTTAGCTGTGGTGACTCACTCCTGTACTATCCCCTTTGCTGGCTATTCCTTCATGTCGTCCCTAGCCAGGCTGTCTAGTGCTCTCCCTGGGTCATATTATTCATCCTAGAGTTGTGAGTGCACTGTGTGCTTTGTGAGCGCTGCTGACTCCCAGAAGGCCAGTGTTTGCTCTACTTGTATGCCTACCTGCTTTCACCACCTCTTGGGAATCCATAAGTATCCCCAAAGGCACTAATCCCTGTCCTCTCCACCAGCTCCATAAAAGACTTTTCACCATGTCTCCCATACAGCTGCCCAAATGGCAAACCTCAGCTAGTCTCCCATACCCCCAGTGCATCCAACCACATCTAGGCCACTAGCTCCTCCAGCCTTCGGCAGTGCACTCCATCCTCAACCTCTCCAGCTGGCAGCCAGAAAAAGCTCTGAGGGGTATTAAGACCGCAGATCATTCCCCTGCAAGCCAAGGTCTCTCCTTCTATCCAAGAGCCCTCTGGCTGGCTCCTACTTGGCCCTGAGTTTCATATACCCCTTTTCCCCTCCCCAAGAGTCATCCTTCCCATGCACTAGACTCCTGCCACTTTCTACACAAGCCAATGCACTCCTGGTGCCCTGGGGTCTCTGTGACATCAAATGTCCCTTTCTCGGTGCAGCCTTCTTTGAGGGTTCCATGTAAGGTGGCTCCTGTGTTAGTTTCAACCACTGCATGCCATGCAAACTTTGGTGCAGTTTTCTGCCGGGTTTCTGTTCTCGCGACTAAAAGGCTCAGGGGTCACTCCAGTTGAACTGGGCTAACTGGGCTGCACGAAATAACCACACAAGAGACACAAATACCCTTTTCTCAGGGGTCACTGTGATGGCTCCTTAAGGGTTCACAGGAAGAGAGAGAAGGAGAACGCTGACCTCCTTTATTGAGGAAAAGCTATTCAAATGAGGCAAGGGGTCTGGTTTCAGGGGCTGAGTCTATCTTCATGATGTCCACTGTCAGCAGGTTGACTGACACCTGGGTAGGCCACACCCAAGGGCACAGTAAGAGAAGGAAACACACACAAGGCACTTCCATAGAAGATTCTATCGTAAACAGGGCAAGGGGTTATATTACAAAGGAACAGGTGAGCGTAGCTTCACCCATGGGGCTGTAGCAAGACACATCCATGCAGGAGACACCAACCCTCGAACCCAAGAAGGGTCGGGGAAATCTCTGCCAAATTTCTGTGACTGAGCACCTCAGCACCGAGCCGGGGAGTGTGACTCAGTCCCGGGTAAGGTTGGTCTCCCACAGTTTTCTACTTATTTTCTGTCACCACTGCAGTCCTAATTTCACGAAAGAGGAGCATACCCTGCAACATTCACACCTGTATTCTGGATGCCCACACCAGTACTCGGGCACATAGAAGGACCCCCAAAATGGGACAAATTAACAGAAAGACCCCATCCTTTCCCTTTCTTAACACCACTCAGCAAAGTTGGAATCCTGTAGAAACCCAAAAGACAGAAAAGCAAGAGCTCCTAGGTCAATGACCATGTAACTTAAATTATTCCATCAGAGCCTGACCTGGTACAATGTAATTTGGCATCAAAGTTCATACCTAAACTGTTTGGTACCAAGTCTAGTCAAATTCCAAAGGTTACCCAAAACATGAAAAGAAGTACAAGTGAGATCAAGGCTTATTTTCCTTTTTTTCATTGAACAGACCTAGTTTTTCTGTAACCACTTTTCTGCATAATGCAAAAATCTGTGGATTTCAAGAGGCCAGATATAATGGAGAAAATTTGAGGAAGATCACAAAGCAAAATGGAGGAACTGCAAACAAGCCGAGTAAGCACAGGCAAGGGGGGCATTCCCAGGGGTCCCCAGGGCTTCTGAAGCATGACATCCAGGCTTAATTAGAAAGAGCTTTACAGCTGGGTTTGGTGGCACATGCCTGTAATCCCAGCAGTTTGGGAAGCTGAGACAGGAGGATCAGGAGTTCAAAGCCAGCCTCAGCAACAGGGAGGTGTTCAGCAACTCGGGGAGACCCTGTTTCTAAATAAAATACAAAATAGGGCTGGGGGATGTGGCTCAGTGGTTGAGTGACCCTGAGTTCAATCCCTGGTACCAAAAAAAAAAGAGAGAGAGCTTTACAGACAGAAAGCTATACAGTCTTGAACAAACCAAACTCCCTCAAGCTTAACATCCTCATCTATAAAATGGGGCCTGTAATGATGCCTCTCAGAGGCCACTGCAGGAATAAGGTTAATCAGAGGGCATGAACACTTCAAAAGATGCCAGGCAAACCATGTGTGCTCATGTCCAACCTCCCTGCCAGCCACTCCGGTTCCTACCTCCAGCAGGGCACTGAAGGCCACACTGGGATCATGCTGCTTCCCAGGCGTGAGGGAGCTCATCCTATCCTGGAGCCTCCAAAATAAAGGGTCCAGGCCAACAGCAGAAGTAGTCACTCAATTTTGCCCTTTGAGGACATCTATGGTAGATCTCTCTCCTTAAGTCCATATGGGCTTTTGTGGGAAAGTGGCCCCCAATTCCCGTGGACAAGAATGCTTCCTCAGTTTACCATGATCCTGGGAAGCCCAAGAGAGAGAAAGGGGAAGGTGAGAAGAGAGTAAGGGAGGGAAATGGTTAGACTCCAAAAGACAGACCAAAGAATGAGATTTCACTGTTACTGCTTCCCCCAATCACTCTCCACAGGAGTTCCAAATGGTGGGTGTGTGCGCACGTGTATGTGAGCGCACCAGACTGTGCCCCTAGGGAACTTATGTCAATATCTGGACACATTTCTGATTGCTACAAATGGAGTAGGGAGAGAGGGCCATGGGCATCTATCTCATGGGAGGTGGCCAGAGACGCTGTTAAATATCCCCAAGGGTCCAAGAGGCCCTGTAACAGAGAACTGAGAGTCCCCAGGGCAGAGAGGCCCTGCAGCCCTAGTACAGGAAGGAAAGAAGCCTCTGTCCACTATCTTGATGAGTAGACCACAGCCAGCAGATTCAGTCCTACAAAGCAGTAGCCCAGGCTGGCAGAGTAGAGGGACTGTATTAGTCAAGTGTAGGTAAAGAAGGGAGGGTGAAGTGGGGCCAGCAGCCAGATTTTTTTTTTCTGCCCTGTGGTGCTTGAACCCCAGGACTAGCACATGGTAGGAAAGCACTCTACTAGTGAGCTATATTCCCAACCTCAAATAGAATTTTAAAGGAGAAAGGAAAGCTAGGCACAGTGGCCCATATCTGTAATCCCAGCTACTCAATAAACTGAGGCAAGAAAATCATGAGTTTGAGGCCAATCTGGGTAACTTAAGGAGAAGACCCTGTCTCGAAATTAAAAATCAGGGCTGGGGCTGTAGCTCAGAGGTGGAGTACTTGCCTAGCATGTGTGAAGACTGGGTTCGATTCTCAGCACCTCATAAAAATAAACAAACAAAATAAACACATTGTGTTCATCTACAGCTAAAAATATGTTTTTTTAATTAAAAATTAAGAGGCCTGGGCTCAGTAGTAAAGTGCCCCTGGGTTTGATCCCTAGAACTGAGGCAGGGGTAGGGCAGATGACAAATGTTTTTGAACATAATCCTCTGGCTTTCTTCTAAGACTTCCCAAATTGCTACTGCAGAAATATGTGAGTGGCAAGCTTAGAAGGTCTGACCACTGGCAATAAGCCCAGGAAAGAAGACAGTTGTCTGTTCAGGGCTTGACCAATCACCAAACACAAATCAGATGTTCAACAGTTGGGGTGTATACAGTGAGGATGGATCACAGTAGGCATTGCTTCCTCCATGATCTGAATTAACAAAGATTTTACTTTGTGGTGCAAAGGGAGGTATTTTCCCACTAATATCTTGATTAGTTAGGTTAGAGGGTTCGGGGACTGTTCCTGTTTTATAGGGAGAATGAAGATGTGAAATCATCCATCAACTCAGGCACAAGATCTGTCTTATCAACAAAACGAAGTCGTTGGAAGACAAATGTCATCTGTTTGACCATAACACAAATTGATGAACTTTTACTGATAGCTTCAAATCACTAACAAATAGCAAACTAACAAAAAGCCACTGTTGCTGATTCTGCAAAGAAAAGTAAAGTAGTTCACTTATGTATATTTTCTTCATAAACAAAGGAAGTCTGTGAGGAGTGGCTATCCCTCCTGCTGTCAGCTCATCACAGAAAATGTAAAGATCACTTAGAGAGTAACTTAATCATAAGAAATATGGGTTATCTTCCTATCACCCACTCAACACACTGTCGGTGCAATAAAATCCATATGTCAAAGCACCCACACCAAGTCCCACAGCACTGAGCACCAAGGGCACCTTACCATATTTGGCACATTGGTGACTGAAGTATTCTTGATGTCTGTAGGGAAGGTAGGCAAACTATTGACCATGCTCTGTTTGCTGGATAATTGGGGGTTCACTCCAGTGGCTCCCATTTGCTGCCCTCCAGGTTGACTGAAAGGCTGTCCAAATGGACTTGTGTTACCAGTCATTCCCATCTGAAACAAAAACAGGTAAGATCAACTGTCACAATGCAAACATACATTAAAGGAAGGACCTCAGAAATGTTCACTTGATCCAATGATGGAAAAATTGTTTATTTCCTATGAAATCCTCATTTCAATTACAAACTAAAGGCTCATTATCAGAGTCCACAATCGGGATTATAAACACAGCAAGTTGCTCAAAGCTATCACTTCAGGGAGAAGTCTAGAAGAAGCTTCAAACAGTTATGTCCCATCCTAAACACTACCCCAAAAGAGGCAGGACTTTTCTCCCTCACTCTCAGCCATATTCCTCCTTCCCAGATATGGATCCCTCCAGAATCTCAGGGAGTTGGTTCAGATGTGAACTAAGTGTTCATTAGTTCAAAATGCAAAGTAGAAATATTGGTAATGAAATGATATCTTGGATTTGCCTTAAAATGACTCAGCAAGATAGCTGGTGGCAGCAAGAGGGGCATGCATACAAGGGTTAGTAACTGCCAAATATACTAAGTAGACAGGACTACATCGTCCCCTCTAATAGTATACATGCTGGAAATTTCCCCTAATAAATTTTTTTAAAAAAATTAAAGCAAACCAGGCATGGATACACATCTATAATCCTTTGGAGGCTGAGGCAGGAGGATCACAAGTTTGAGGCTAGCCTTATCAAATTAATAAAATCCTGTCTCGGAAAGGGGGGGGGGGTATGGCCGAGGATATAGCTCAGTGATAGAGCAATTGCCTAGTATGCATGATCCCTGGATTCCACCCTCACTACTACGAAAGAAAATAAAAAAGAAAAAAGTGAAATAAAACTAAATATATGGTAGATTAGGCAAAAGTGGGAAGGAGGAATTTTCAGCTATGCCTCCAGGAGACCAACCACAGACCCAGGTCAGTTTCCTCGGGTCACATAAGTTCCAGCCTCCTTAGGTACATTAGGAATCCCCAACACATTACCCTGATGCTTTCTTGTCCCCTTGGGGAGGAACAGAGACTAATCATTAAGAAGCTGGATGTCTGAGCTACTTGCCTTTGTTTTCTCACAAGCTGTCCAACACTTGCTCTATATTTCTAGCATCCAGAAATGTTTGATGTCTGTTTGATGTCTGGACAGGAAAGAACCCCAGGAGTGAGTTTCCATCCAAGAACTCACCACCAGCCTCACATAGTGACTACATACCAGCACATCCACTCTGGGTAATTTAGATCCCTCTGAGAATTTCCATCTCCTTATCTGCAATGTGAATGTCTTGAACAAGACAAGCCATGTTATTTCTTTCAGCTCTAAAAGTCTACACTGCCAACAAACCAACGTGAAACACCGCTAACTCCAAATGTCCCCTTTCTGCTAAAATAGGTCTACACACAGAACCAAACACACAGCACCAAAAGTACTTCAACCAAAAAGATATTGCTGTATGCATTCTTATACACAGGTGGCTTCCCTCTACCCTGAGCCCTCAGAGTTGGCATTTCTCACCTTTCTGAAAGTGATATCTTTCTAGCTACCACTTTTGCCCTATGTGTTCCATGTGAGTAAACTGAAACATAAATCCTTCACCACGCTCACCAATGAGCCTCAACCTTCAGCTCAGGAGAGTTCATCAATGTGAAACTACAGTGAGCAAATTCTCAGCTAGGTTCTGTCAAGTGTTATCTGAAACTCAGACTGAAGCAGTAGATATATTTTCAGAAAGTACTGTGCTAAATTCTAGTTAGCAAGTTCTTAAAAGCCCAGAATTTGAAAATGTTAACAAATATTATACAGTTAAACTTTTCTAATTCCTCTATTTGTCTACTTTGGACCACTTATATCAGAATACATGACCTCAGTCATCCTCCTCAACTTGTCCTCCTTGTCAACAGCATTCACCAAGGTTCTCCTGTGAGCCAAGCCCAGTGCTGAGCACCAGGAGACAAGCTTTCCTACTCACCATGGAGCTTGCCCCTTATACCACAAATCTGGCAAATAAGAAATCAATGTCATTTGGAAGTTTCTGATTAATTAGGATTTGACTAGCATCAAGCAACCAATGTGGCTGGCAGGTGGTACATGGTGAAGGGTCTTTCTACTGACACTAAATGCCCCTTCAGCGAAGAAAGGGAAACCCAGCAGCTGGGGTTATAGGCATATGCCACTGCACCCAGCATGTCTGACCTGTTTTGAAGATCCACTTCTAAAACTTTGCATTTCTGACAGCATTCCAATGATCATTTTGACAAAGTTAAGAAAATGGGATGGGTATATCTGGTCAGTAGGGTAATAATACCACCTGGTCAGACTATGCAGTACTTGCTACATGGTCAATTTCAAAGAGGAACCTTGTGTTTAGAAGCACTATAATAGATTTCTTTAGGAAATTTCTCTGCATCTTTTCTCCTTGGACAAAACCTTTTAAAAGGTTAAATGCCACAGCAAAGTCAAAGGTCACATATGGCATATAAGAAACATCCACCTCACAGAGGTTCAACCCGAGCCATGACAAAAGCAAACAAACCTAGTGTCTGGCCCCAGACTTTCCTTAGTCAGCTCAGGGTCAGTAAACAACAAGGCCAAGGAGGCCACAGTCCTCCAAAGGCCCACTGATCACCTTCAAGCAGGCTATCCTTGACTCACCCCAAAATGTCTCCAGGGAAAGTCAGGAAGAACTCAGGGCCACACTCCAGTCCTCAGTTGAAGTTTAAGGGATAAGCCATTTGCTTCTGAGATTCTAAATTTCTAAATTCTTATTCTATATCTATTCTTTATTAATCAAATTGAACATCTGTGGTCCTCAAGCCTAGGCTAACACATGTGTACTTGGAGCACATATACTCAAAATGAAATAGTAAAATCCTAATGTCACTTCAATTAATTAAAAACCTTCATTTAATTTCCGTACAGTTACTTGATGATTATCTAGTGAATGTGGCTTTATTTTCCACTGAAGTTCATCAAAATTTGGTGTAAGACTTCTAGAGAACTTCTGAAGTAATCTTTTCAGTAAAATCCAAAAAGCAGAACAGAAAAGAAACAGGGAGTACTCATGACTATGAAAGGGACACGCTAACAGGTAAACAACAATGGAATGCTAGCACCCTCCAACGGCCCATTCGTGTTTAAGTGTTTCTACTCTGTCCTTCCAAACAGCCCTTCATACTCATGCATTTAATTTACGTTCAATCTCAGAAAAATCTAACTGCAATAAGAACCTTAAAAAAATCTCTCTCATAATGACATCGATTAAATAATACCTTAAGCTCTACCAAATTGTCCAACAAAAAAGCACTGTGATGATGAAGTGTATCAGTCATTTGAACACCTGCTTGTCTCTTCACTGAAAGAATAAAAATACGTAATCTACAATTCCTGTGCATAAGGAAAGAACACACAAGAGAAGATTGGGGGAGGGAGGATATGAATACCAGACTAGAACTTACCCACCCTAAGGACGAAATGGGGTGGGGTGAGGGACAGTAATGACCCTTACTTAGCATGACCAAGTTATGAGACCTGACAACCACAGCTCCTTTAGAGCCCAAGAGCAAGGCCCACTCTATTCTTTCTTACTAATACAAAGGCACCTGCAGCAAACTGGCAGCAGCACCCAGCCATCGACCAAAAGCAGCTTGGGTCCTAATGTGTGGCATATAATCAAGAGACAGTCAACAACATAGAAGGGTGAACTATGCTTCTCCTCTTCTGGCAGATATGGTGAGGCAGAGCACTACACAACTGGCATTATCTATCATAAATAATATTTATGATGACCCATCCTGAGTCTGTCTTGGACTCAAAACCAGGATAAAAAGTACTGCCCTCCTTGAACATGTGTCTCCTCTGTAACTCTAACGCATATCAGCACATAGTGGGTACTTCGTACTTGTGGAAAGAACCCAAAATGAACATTCCCAAGACATCACTGCCCTCAAGCCCTCAGGAAACAGAGCCCAAGGAAGGAGATGGTCAAAGAACATCAGGACTCTTTCTAACCATCTTCTGAACTTCCACAGACCTGAGTTACTAAAATGAATTGACAGACAGTTCACTTACCCATGCTGAAAAGTTGGGCAAAATAAGCATATACCCTTTAAGTTGATTTTACAGAATGACAGTTTTGTGTGTGATGGAAGCAAGACAGGAGAGCAGTCTAGCAGTCTGGGTCAACTGTGCCACACCTCCTGGGCCAGCAGATCTTTGGCGTTGGTGCAAAGTTCCATCCATGCTCTAATCCAGAGCCTCTCACCTGGGATCCAAAATACTGAACCATCAGCCTCAGTGGTCATCATCTCTGACTTCAGAAAGCCTTCTCTGTTTACTTTGGTGTAGAGGACAAATATAATTCTCTACTTATAATGATATGACAGCTATTAAAATATTAGTAAGAAAACATGCTCTGGACCCCTAAAAGGGCAGAAAGATCTCTGTATCCACTGCATTAATCAGGGGAACATCCCTACTGCTCACATTTCCCACCTAATTCATCAAGTAAGACCCAGTCTATAAAGAAGGCAGTGGACAGAAATCTGAGAACTATCTAGGGGTTAAGGAGGACTAGCACTGAGTGGAAAGATGAGACTGAAAGAGTGCAGGCAGATCACACAAGAGAAGCTTCTCCCTAGAACAGGCTTCTGCAGTGTTAGCAAGCCACAGAGAGGCACTTTCTTCACCCAGGACTACACTACAGCAGTCCAGGCTCTACGGGGAGGAAACAATGGGTAGGGACTACCTAGGCAGTTGGTAGGGACACGAGAGAGAAGTCTGGTTAATGACACCTATGCAAAGTTTTGTACGACATTCGTTTTGGAGGGGAAAAGAACATTATTCAATTTCCCCACAAAGCTCAAGGAAGAGCAAGACTAATCCTGATCTCACAGGACCATGTGCCACTCATAGGACCATATGCCACTTGCGGGAGAATTAGCACACAGTCTCCTTCCCCAGAGGCACTGCCTGGGTATGGAAACCACCTAGTCACAAACCAATTCCTCCAGGAAACTGCTTGGAACAGGCACTCACAGAAAGAGTC